ATATATATATATACACACGTATATATATATATATATATAACAAAATTACATATAAAAACTTACATAAAAACTTTTTCAGTATGCTGTTGTCAACCACATGCAAGTTCAGACATGTCAGCCATCCAAATACAGTGACGTGTAGTGTTTCATAAAGTTTTTATGAATAATTGTGTCACATTTGCAAAAATAAAAAAGTGCATTTATGTCTTTAACTCTGAAAATGTTCATAGCCCTTTACCAAAACATGCCAATGTTCCAGTTATGGAACACATGTAGACTCTCATTGCTGCTTTTTAATGAAAAGGTTTAGGAAATGCAGTTTTTTTAATATGGACACGCGACTTTATTAAGTCTAAATGTAATTAGAAACACGAAAACTGCTCAGCGGACTAGTGATGAGGTCTCTTCATTATTTCTCATCAGTTCAGAGTAAAAGATCTGGATCTGATCTGCATTTCATTTTATGGCAGAAGACACACTTAATGTCTGAGATCTTGACTGGAGTGAATAGTGCTGCATGATATTAGAAAAACTTACAACATACAATATAATTAGGTCATACTGTGACTACATTAATTGTGATAAACCCAGCTTTTCATCACTTTCTCTTCGACCCTCACCTTCATCTGAACCAGGTGAGAATCAAGCATTCGATTTACCACAAACATTATTCGCAGGCAGAACACAAATTAATGTAACGACTTAATATTTACTGCAGTCCAAGCAGTAACTTGTGTTACTGATATTGTATGCATAGATGTTGAGATTTGTGCAGCCTGAAATCAAACCATTAAAAAAATTCAAAGAAAAAGACTGATTCTGTCCTGATCTCCATAAACATGGGCTGCCTCTTACATCACTGAAATAAACATTATATACAGAAATTACATTTGTTCATCCAAATGCACTGAAGCTAAAACGAGGATGTGTTATTTTAACTTAAATGTACAGTTTGTTGACAAGATTTACATCTTCTTTAGGTTAAAAGTGAAATTCCACAATAAAGTTAGTCATTCAGTGCGTGTCAGGTGATGACATGTGACTCCTCTACACTGCAGCAAAGTCATCAGGATCCCTAGATAAAGCTTTACAGACACAAAAATAATAAAAGTCAAACGATATCCTGAAGCACAATGACTTATCTTTGCTGTAGGTAGGAATGCTACTATCAGCGCAACTTTGGTTCCAACCTATATATATATATATATATATATATATA